CCACTCCTCAGAAGGAAGATGGGGCAATCTACTTCTGTAGTGATACTGCCTCGGAAACCCAAGGAGGGGTTGCTATGAGTTGGGTCCGACTCAACGGCACATAACAACAACAACTACCTTATATTGGTAATGGTGGTAAGGGAACAGCTTTAAAGACTTAGAATGGGAAGAAAAAGTGGGTCCATTCCCAAGGATATAATATTCTTGAAGCTGTTTATCAGCTGTCAGAGGTTAGCAATTTCTACTTTATTTCTATGTCTAGGGAAAGTTTTCTTCCTAATGATTTGGATTCTGATTTTTTTAAGCATATGCTTTTTGTTAGATACTTTCATTGAGTCCTTATGACTCAAAAAAGGTGGATGTTATCTCCAGTTGACAGTGAGGCAGTCATTTGTTACAGGGTATGTAGTTAGTAAGACAAAGTCAGGACTCAAACTAGGAAGTCTGATGCCAAAGTGATAGTGCCTTTATGATACCTAGAGGTTTGGATAGACAGTCACATCTCAATTTTCCATGACACATCTGTTTGATAGTCACCTCAGTAGAGTGCAGTTGAACATCAAAAGGTGTGCAAAATAACATGCCCCCAAATCCATGTACAAAGCTCACATTATTGAATAGACTCACTCAAAGCCAAATGCTATTTAGTTTATACACTAATGTAATATTTGATCGAATGACTTGACAGACGTTCTGGTGGACTAGAAGTAACTTAGGAAGATGAGGCAGTAAAAAGTGATAGATGCAGGGGAGGGAAGTCCCAGCAGTCTGGGGCCATGTAGTACAGGGGCTAGTGACCCCTCATGACATACCAGCGCCTGGAGTCATCAGTGCGGTCATGGCTGTTAATAATGCACTTGGTGTGTCACCTAGAAGGCCCCACTAAGCTCAGCATCTCAGGGAGAATAGGTAAGAAGAAAGTTTTTCATTCAACCTTGTTGCAATTTTAGAGAAAAATGTTTTTGATGCTTAAGGGGTGAATCCTTAGCCAGTCTGGAAATTGAAGTTGTTGAGAGACACTCCCTCCCTGTGCAAACTAGAGAGTGAAGGTTTTCCTGTAACAAAGGTGTCACGTTGTCACATTAGATCAACAGTGGGCAAACTATGACCTGTGTGCCAAACCTGACCCACGCCTGTTTTTGTACAGCCCGTGAGGTAAGAATAGTTTTAACATTTTTAAGTGGTTAGAAAAAAATCAAAAGAAGAAAACTATTTTATGCTGCATGATACGGAATTCAAATTTCAGTGTCGTTAGTAAAGTTTATTGGAACACGGCATGCTTGTCCATGGCTGCTTTGCACTATGATGGCAGAGTTGAATAGTTGCCACCTGGACTGTATGGCCCACAAAGCCTGACATATCTACTGTCTGGCCCTTTACAGACAGTTTGCTAGATGGAGGATAGAGCAGAGATAAAAGATGACGCAGAGGATGGCAATAAATAGTAAATGTTTACTGAACTCTGCTGAGTACATACATTGTTGAGTCTTTATAGCAACCTTTATGAATCAGACATACCATTATCCCCATTCTATAGATGGGGAAACAGGCTCATAACTCACCCAGGGTCACAGAGCTGTAGGGATGGAGCTAGGAGTTGAATCCAGGTCTGGCTGCCTCCCCAGCTGTGCTCATAAGCACTGTGCCATACAGCCTGATGGCACCAGATAGGGTGAAATTAGGAGAGGTTTAGGGACCCTGCAGTGCACTGAGCAATGGCTGGGAGGACAAGGGGGTTGCCAGATGGAAGAAGACAAAGGTGCCTTACAGTGTGTTGAAAACTCCGGACGGCTGATTAGATTTTGGAGTGCTTTCATGGCTCATGTAATGGAAAGAAAAGAAGCAGGCAGGGAGGAAAAAAAAATCCGTTATCACAGCAGATGCCTCTGGGCTTAAATCATGTTCTGCCCCTGGCCCGGCACTAACACCCCTGGGCAGGGTGCTTGTCCACGTCTCCCTCTCCCGGGTCCGTGAGCTCGCCTGGCCTACTGATCAGGAGAGGTCATTCTGCACCCCCGTGAGGCTTGAAGCGGAATGAGAGTAAGCACTGGGCAGCAGAGCATTCTGTTGCCTTTTTGTCTGTAAAATAAGAATGTCAAGGAACAATTGTTTCTTCATTACTGTGAATGTGAGCCTTGTGCTTTCAAAGGTCAGCGCCTGTGAGCACATCATGGTTTAGAGTGGGTTCCTATGGTAATTAGGCCATCGTGACTGAGGGTGTTTTGTGTCAGACAACGGGGTACTGGGTTTCCGTCCTTCTGCGCAGCGCATGCTTGTTTCCTGCAAATGTAACCATTGCTGTTTTTCCTCTTTTCTTCTTGTTTTCATTATTTTCAGCACCACACGTAGGTCTGGAGCCAGAGAATTCCTCAGCAGGTATGGTGTCTCTTGCATTCTTTCTGTCCTTGCCTCTTATCAGGGACCCCTGAATTAGAGGGGAACCAGGGAGTGAGTGTTCCTGGAAGTGAAAGGTTTTTGTTTTTTTCATAGATGAGTGGAGGCTTTCTTCCAATGCTGATGCCAATGGAAACGCCCAACCCTCTTCACTCGCTGCCAAGGGCTACAGAAGTGTGCATCCCAACCTTCCTTCCGACAAGCCCCAGGTAGGCATTTGCCCAGGGGTGGGGTGGGGACTGGTGAGAGGTACCTGTTCTTTTTTAAGTTTAGACTTGTGACTTCCTGCTCCCAACAACTGGGTTAACAGAATGGGTTCTGAGTCAAGGTTTTGATCAATCCTGGAAAACAAGAGTTGGGAAAAGTTGGGTCCAGGGCAACAGGGACATAAGATGTGCACTAGTGTATTTGAAGTAGGCTTGATGCTTCTAGGCTTGATACTAATGTGAAAATACTCTGCAAGAGAGAAGCCATTTAGCCTGAATAAGTGGCGAGAAGGCCGGAGCCTGTTTTGCTGTTGCTGTTTAACTCTTGAGCATGTAATGGTTAAGAGAAGAGTGCCCTGCTGTGTTTATTCCATTAATTGTCTGGAGTTGGGGCCATAAGAGTTCCAGCAACTGTATCCTTACAGATTAAGATCAGGCAGCTCGGCCCAGACCCTGAATTCAGTGGTTGAGGAGTAGGCGGGTTGATGCTGGAATGGCAATACAGTCGAGTTTAAATAGCTCTTGTTCTACCCTAGAAAAGAAAATACACTGGAATTGCAAAACATAGAGGAAGGATCATTTTTCCTTAAGTCTTTTCCCTCAGCTGTTTTCCTGCTCTTCGCCACCCACCACCACCACCACCATGCTTGCTTCTTTGCCACTTTGATGAAAGGGATAGACCCTGCTTTAGATTCAGGTGATACATGAGAAATGATTTTACATAGAGAAGCCACATCCATGGACTGGAGAAGTCCTGTCTCTGAAAGGAAGCTGTGCTGCTCAAAAACGGTTGCAGAAATGTGTTCCTTGTGTGTCCACTGCCCTGTTCCTTCCTGCTATAAATGTGCTCCTAGGCTCACAAGGAGCGGAAATTCCCAGTGTCCTTCCTCAGTGCCCGCCGCCTCCGCTGGGATGACCATCTGGCTCCTGCTGTTGAGAACATAGAATTGCACTGGTCCCTATAGATAGGGAACACCCTGTCTTTCCAAGCTTAGAGCTGGTTGTTAAATCATCTGCCATGGGTTTGAGCAGCACTGTTCAGCCTTTCTGCTATCTGCCATAGCTTGTCTCCCTTAGAAACAGCCCAGTGCATTCAGAACCACTGGTTAGAACCAGAGCCAGGAATGTGTCCAGCCTCCTAAAGTCCTCATCAGACATGGGCACTTGGGAGGTCAGTTGTCCAACAAATAACTCATCATGGTTTTTCCACTTCTAAACCTTTAGACCTGTGGCTCTAAATGCATTGCCGATGCTCTAGGGGAATGGGTTGCAAAAATGTGTTGCCTGTGGCCATCCTTTTCAGTCATCTCAAGAACTGATGCAGTTGGCTACATCCAGATTAGAAAACAGTGCTGATTAATCCAAAGCAAATGTAGAAGTGCAGCCTTTCTTCCACTATCAGTGACTTAGCCCAAAGGGTAACTCCTTTGGCTTCTTAAACAGCTCTTCTGAAGAGGTAATTTTCAAAGCATGTGAAGTAAATGAAAATTCCTTAAGCCTTTTAAAATAGGTTTATTGAACCATATGTGTTGAGCATCTGTTGTGTTCAGATCCCTGTGTTAAACACTGCCCTCACGGAATTTATGGCCTAATAAGGATAAGCATCCTGTAGTATCGCCTACAAACATCTTGTTTTCTCATTATCTGTCACTATCCAAGAATTTTCCCTTAAGGGGAACCTGGTAAATTCCCTATATAGAAAGGTGCTCTTCTGCATATGCAATTTAAAATTGGCCATCCAAATTTCAAGAACCTTGAAGTCATGCATTACCTCTTCAATTACTTCTTTCTTAATTCAAAAGTGACTTGTCTGTCTAGCCATTGCCAGAGTTGTGAGTGTGTACCAGCTCAGGCAGAGCCTAAGGGGTTGGGCTAGTGACCATCCTGGGTTGGTTTCAGGTGAAGAAGTTCTCAGACCCTACAGGCCTAACATCAGTTCTGTCTCCTAATGCTCCTATAGGCTTTCCTTCTGCCACCCTGGACCTGCTGCCATCTTCTCCCTGCCCAATAACAGGGAACCAGGGCGTCTCTCTCTCTCTGTCATCACCACCATCATGGTCCCCTGCATCTCTCTCTCTGTCATCACCACCATCATGGTCCCCTGCAGAGGTGGAGGAGATTGGTGGTTTCTGGAACTGTATAAACTATGAACACATTCTCTAAGCAGCCCATTTTTCACTGGCTCAGTTTCTAAAGAGATAAATGGAATTCCATTACAGCCAGCTGGACAGGGATGCAAACTGTCTCTGGGTTCCAACAATGTTTAAAATAAAACAAAAAGTAGTTCTTTCCATGTAAAGTCACTATAGCAACCCCCCCCCCCCCACACACACACACCTCCTTCTTTAGGGCCAGAAGAAGCCCAGGACAGGAAGACCTTTTGGCTCTAAGTGCATTGTCAACACTCTGGGGGAAGTGTCCTCTCTGAGGGTCAGAGCCCTGGAAAGGCTTGTGGCCTGATGTAATACAGCCCAGCCACCATATATGGCCACAGTCAAATTAAGTTAAATACTCACTGAAATGGATTTCTATCTTTGGACAAGAAAGAATTGCATATGGGTTACTTGAGCTCTAAGTAAAAGTAAATCTATGCCCAAATCAAAATAGTCTTTCCCTTACATCCTTAGTAGCCCTTATCAGTTTACCCAGAAGTCCCTGTCCTCATGTGTGTAGCAATCTAGAGAGCATCATTTAGTCAGTAAGCATGCCCCTATCTCCAGCACAAGTTGAATGAGACCAAGTAAGTTCATCCAAAAGGGTTTACTCTTGCTGACTGATGGAGAGGAGCTGCTTATCTTATATTTTTTGGTTGGTCCATGTAGCTGCAGTCTCCTGGAACCATCATGGCCACCTGGTAGAACGTAGGCATCAGGTGACCCTGGAATTACCCAAATAGCTCTTCTCCACTGAGGTTCTTTGCAATTTGAAAACTGAGTTTGTTAAAGGACAGATTATTTTCTATTTCTCGGTTGATACTCTAATCCAGACTCACAGAACTTTTTCACTTCTCACCTATTTATTCACCCTTTCTAACATCCCTTCCCCTAACATCCCCAAATTTGAATGGCCACCTATACTCCAACAAACCAAACCAAAACGAAGACCAGACCCACACCCTCCAACTCCCTATTTTTGGTCACGATTCGTTGACCAGATGTTGACCTAGCTCTAATATACCTCACTGTGCATTTTGGAGGAAGGTTCTGGTTTTCTTCCAGTACTAGAATATCTTTAAAGATAGGGGCCAATGAAAAAAATTTAGGAAAATGAACTTTCCTCATTCCATAGTATGATTCCCCCTTGAGCCACAGGGTGGTAAATGGTTCTCATTGAAATGAGATTCATCCCATTTCCAGACCCTCTGCCCCACTGAGACCCAAGAAGGAGCTAGGAGCTGTGCTGAAGGAGGGGGAACGAGATGTGAAAGTACAACTTTCTAGCTATGAACCTGTAGCCAGAGCTATAGGTTTATGCCATGAGTCCTGGGCTGATTGCCCCAAAACTAGGATTGTCTGTGTTTGATAGTGGGCTGGGAGGGAATGAGGATGGGGCTGGCATTTTATAAACCAGGCAATCAAATGCTTCATTACCTGGTCCCTTTTTTGTGTGCATTTGAAATGGAAGACTACATGCTTTGAATCTCATGCCTGTCTTCCTTGTAATAATTAGTTCCATCATATTGTTTCCCCTGAGAAAATAGCACATGTGGATTGGAAATCCTTAGCCTTTTCTTCTTGGCGAGCTTCAATTTGTTATGCTTATGGAACTCATTGCTAGATCTCAGTGATTCTATTAAGACATCTGTCTCCTGTGAACCAAGAGCCTCAAACTGGTTAATTCCGGTTCAACCCCTGCTGGGAATTTGCACATCCACCCGGGATATAGTGAGTCAGAGTCTGCAGTTGAACATGATCCCCATGAGACTCATCTGAGGGTCCATAAGAATCACTGGGGATCTTGTTCAAATGTAGATTCTGATTCAGTGGATCTGGGTGGACATGCAAATTCTCAGCAGGGGTTGAACTGGAATCAACCGGCTGGAAGAGCTGCTGGGAACACAAATGAGGACATTCTTCCAATTCTTGTTCCCTCAAAGAAAAGAAAGACACTCGAAAGAGTTTCAGTGAACTTAAACTTTAAAAAAAAATGAAATAAACTTTATTTTTCAGAGTAATTTTAGGTTTATAGAAACAGCAAGTAAAGGGAGCGTGAACTTAAACATTGAAAGTCAAAGGCTTTGGAAAAAAAAAAAAGTATTCAAGGAAAGGAGATATGAGAGGGAATTGGGGCCTTTGGGGCTTTTCCCACTGATGTTTTAGTTCCTTTGACATCCCTGTTCAGTGAGGGGAAAAAAAAAAAAAGAAAGAAAGAAAAAACTCACTGCCTTCTAGTTGGGATTGGTGTCAAAATCGATGTAGTGAATGGCATCTCATAGACTATGCTCAGCCTCCTTTGATACAAAGGCGTGTCACGCCTACCCATCCACAGGTGAGTACAGTTAAGTGCTTGGCCACTTGGCTTTACTCATAATGAAATATAGAGGCTGTGAGGACTAAATTGAGAATTTGCTTAACGACATGTTAAGTATTGCTTTTTCTTCAAACCATATTTTGCGGCTGTTTCTAATTGTCATCCTTCTTCCCATTTCCCCTCCTCTTTCTCTTTTCCCCTGCTTTGGTGTCATGTCGTGAAAACAATACTAAAGGTTCTCTCTCCCCCACGACCTCCTCTCCCTCAAGAGAATCGCTTTGCATGGCTGTGCCCCACCCTCTGCTCTACCTCCAAAGACTCCCTCTACCTGAGCTCGCCAAGGCCTTACACCCCACCTAGCACCCCCAGCCAGCAGGCCCTCTCACGGCCCCAGCCCATCTCTCGCCCCCTGGCTGCCAGATCAGTTCCCAAAGATGCAGTGTGTCCCGGTCCCCGGCTTCTGGGTCCCACGGTCCCCAGTGCTTTATCTCAGCCCCAGCAGCACCATGCAGCCACCAGGACGATTTATGGTCAGAATGTGAGCTCTAATCCACGTCATAAGGCAGTTGGGAATAAAAAGGTCAGCAGCTTATATGTACCTTGTTTATCCAATAACATTTGCCCGGCATCGGAAAGCACCTCTCGTGTTGCACGCGACCCAGCCAAAGGCACTCCCTGGGACGCTTCAGGCACTCGAGCACCGGCTCCCAGCCTTGTCTCCTGCACAGCCGGCACGGGAAAGCCACCCTTCACTCCTCCTGACCCTCCCAAGCTATCCTCTGACATCCATAAAGATGCTGTGAACCAGGGTGAGAGTTCTTCCCTGGGGACTCAGGCTTCGTTCCCAGACGCAGTGAGACCACCTGTACTAGGCCCCCAGGTTACCTCTGATCCCGAAAACCGGAAGAGAAAAGAGCCTTACCTTTTGCAGCCGTGTTATCCAGCCAAGGCAAGAACTAGGAATGTTTGTGTGTCTTCTACACCACCTCTTTGTAAACCGATGAGCACAGCTCATCTGTTTTCTGGGCTGCCCTACCCTCCCTCTCCTCATGAATACTGCTGCAGCTTGAATCCCCAATTCTCTCTGAACACCTCAGCACAGTCCTCTCTCTGTCTCCCTCTCTCTCTTGTCCATAAATGTGTAAGTATGCCAGAGTGTGGAATCCGTGGACTATTAATACGGTGAGGTATGGTGTGTTTCTGTTTTATAGCAAGATGCCAAAGTAATTGTATTTGCCTCCAAGCTTCCAGGCTCTGCAAGCGGTTTTGTGGGGTTAAACACAGCCTGCTTGCCTGTTCTGCCGTTCTCTCTCTTTCTCTCTCATTAAGTGTTAAAGGGATTCAAAACTGGATGGAAAGTGAACTTGGATGGGGTTCCCTCTGTGTCACAGAGTATCGGGAGGCCAGCTGGCTAGCACCGGCTGTCTCATGCACTATGAGGAAAGGGCACCGATTAAATATTTCTCAGAGTACATCATTGCATGTCCACCCTCAACTGTTTAAATATGGAATTCCTTCTCTGCTGTACCCCTTTGCGTAACAACCCCCTTATTTCCTACAGGATGCCACTTCCTCCAGCCCAGCCCAGCCTGAGATAATAGTAGTCCCTCTCTACCTGGTTAATACTGACAGAGGGCAAGAAGGCACTACCAGACCTCCAGCATCTCTGGGGCCACTTGGCCGCACTCCCACATTCCCGGCGACCGCCCCTGCCAGCTCACCTCTGACCTTGCCGACACTAGATGATTTCATTCCCCCTCATCTGCAGAGGCGCCCCCACCACAGCCAGCCAGCCAGTGCCTCTGGCTCCTTTCCCCCTGTTAGCCAGACTTCACCATCCTTCTCACCACCACCTCCACTGGTTCCCCCAATCCCGGAGGACCTCCACAGAGTCTTGGAGCCTGACCTCAAGGGAGCTGTTTCAAGTACCGTAAGCTTGCCGGAATCCCCTCCTCACGGTTTTCCTGAACGTCTGCTCCCAGCAGTAAAATACCCCTTTCTCACTCGAATACTAAGTCATGAGGAACTGAGCGCTGGCTGCCGCTATGACTTGCGTGATGACTGGAACTGTGTTTGCTCTCACTCAAGTGCATGCTTCCCGTGTGTGTGCCGTGGCTCTCTCACGGTGGTTTGTGGATCTCTCAAGTACCTCTCCTCCTCTGTCCTGTTTGGAATGCGCATCTTCCTGAAAGAACTTTGTTTTCCCTCAGAGCAAACAGCATCTGTTGCCTTCACTTCAGCTATGAAGTTACATCTTTACAGGCAAGGCAGATGTGATGTTGAAAGCTCAGAAAAGCTGAAGAATTATGTGAAAAAGTCAATGGCAGGTGTGGTAATGAATAACGAGGGTTATCCACCAGGGAGCAGAGAGATCGTAGGGGAGGAAAAGATTCATTCTGTTGTTGATTTAATGAGTAAACAAGCTCTCTTTTATATACAGAAATGAGAGACTAGGTAAAAAGTAAAAGCAAAACAAGGCAGGAGTTGAGTTGAGTTTATCGAGGGAAACTCCTTGTACAAACATTAGGACCATTTCCTAAAGAGGTAGAAAATTGTTGGGACGTTGAATAGTGGCTTTCAGGGGCCTAGTAGGAAAACAGTAGACTAGTGGTCATGGAAAGTAAGGGCTCTGATACCTCAGGTCTCATCCTGTGGGAGATGAGTCCCTGTCACAGGCAAACTGTGTTAGAGAAAAAGCTAAGGCTGAAGAACCCGGGGAAGTGAGAGAACCTGAAAGAACATCAACGGTAGTCATAAAGTAGGGTCCATGGATCAGCTCACACGACTGTGAGGCCCAGTGGGATCAAGCATGTAAAAGTTCCTGGCACAGTGCTTGGCACAGAGGCAGTGCCCAGTAAGTATTAGCAGCCATTGTTGGAGCTAAGAGGCTATGTTGCTGTGGACTTGTCATAGGAAGTGAGGGGCTAGAGCCAATCAAAAGTAAATAACTGGCTCATTAGCAATTAATCACTGAGTTCCTACCTTGTTCTGGGTTCTGTGGGGTGTGGTGGGTGCAGCTGTGAACAGGTCACGGCCTCTGCTCTCAAAGAGTTGGGGGTCAAGTAGGTTCTCAAGCTCAGTGAGCAGCAGGGAGGCTCGTGAATTGTTGACTCCTGGGTTCTACTCCCAGAGGTTCTGATTGCAAGGTTCTGGTGGGGAGACTGAGAACTCTGACTGGGTAACAGGCACCCTGGGAGATTCTGATGCTGGGGATCCGCAAACCACATTTTGAGAAATCGTGGTCTAGCAGGTCATGTAACTATGTGATTAAGCATTTACTGACATCCCTTCGAGCAAAGAGACTTACCTTATTAAACTGGCTCAGATAGCTTGCTAAGCTGAAGCTGGCCATGCAGAAAGCAGGAAGGAAACTTCCTTTGGCTTGTCAGAGAAATTGCACTAAGGTATCAGGCAAACCAGAGCTGGAAGCTGCTGCGCTTCGGCTAGGGCCTCTTCTCAGATTTCTAGATGCACCATAGTGCTGTTTAGTCAGAACCAGGCCAGACATGGCCTATGGGCTTGATTTCCATCAAGCTGCGTGCTTAGCCCTATTGGAGAAAAATTCTCAATTGGTCTCTCCTGCACTGACTGACCTCTGCCGAGATCTCCTCTACCCCTTAGCTCAACTTAGGGGTGAATCTGGAAGCCCAGTCTTGTTTTGTAGAGTGCAAGTATGCTTGCCTTTGGCATGGAATGGGTTTCTGTGGCATAGCATGTAAAGTGACTCTTAGTTTTAATACACTAGTCTACTATGGGCAATCTACTTCTGTAGTGATACTGCCTCGGCAACCCAAGGAGGGGTCACTATGAGTCAAGTCTGACTTGATGGCACATAACAACAATGACTGTTGTGAATAGCTTTGGTCTCTACCCTGTAATTTATCATGTGCTTAGATCTAGGCTTTCATATTGGGTTTGTTTCAGGTATATCATATAAGGGAGCTCTGGTGGCTTAGTGCCTAAGGCATTTGACTGCTAACCGGAAGGCTGGTGGTTCACACCCACCAGCCACTCCTCAGAAGGAAGGCTGGGCAATTTACTTCTGTAGAGATACTGACTTGGAAACCCAAGGAGGGGTTGCTATGAGTTGTAATCAACTTGACAGCAGTGAGTTTGGTTTTTTTTTTAGTTACATCATAAAATGGTACCAGGACAATGTCCCCAGTTTCTCGAATTAGTTTGGTATAGACATCTCAGGAAAACTTCATTTGGCCTGGTAACTTCTAGTTGGACCTCAAGAAATAGAGAAAGAGGTGAAAAAGGAACCTGCTGGGGTTCTCCACTGAATGAGAATTATTAGGAAGAGTAGGAGCCCCAGTGGATGGTGTCTGAGCCATGAGTGGTATCTGCTCCTGCAGCTGTTTGAGAGGAGGAGGGAAGAATGGAATTCATGTTGATTGGTCTGACTTCTTTTAGTCAATAGCCATTTTCATGATGTACCAGGAGGCACACGTCATAGAGGAAATTTTTACAATGCTAATGCTCCCACGATCCATGCAGACATCTCAGTGGACATTTGTACCTCACAGAGCTGTGTTCCTGGTATTTTGTGTTTTGGTGTGCACTCTGGCAGAGTTTTCACTGTTATGTCATTTATCTTTTATGTCACTTAGGTAGTGAATTAGGAAGAGTGTAATTATTTTCCATTGTACAAATTAAGCAATCAGGATGAGGTATATTTGTACAAGATCACACTGAGCCTCTCAAGTCTTGGGAAAAAGTTTCATCCAATAAACTGAGCTGCCTTTCCAAACTAACAGCTGTGGCTGTTTAGGGAGCTTTCCAAGGGGGTGGGTTGACCAAGCTAGCATTCGCTAAGCCCCTACTTTGTGTCAGGAGCTATCCTAGGTGCTGACACTCATGATACGTCTTTGGTTAGGCCAGTGTTCTCTTGCGTCAAAAGTTGCTCAGACACACCTTTGCAGACAGAAGGTTCCTGCCATTCAAGTGATGTTTACCGAGTGCTTGCTGTCTGTGGGCATTGGGCTAGGTACAGGGGAGCAGGAAAAAGGGGACGAATGGCCCTTGTCCCTGCTGCACAGGGTTTCCAAGGCTGATTTCTTGGAAGTAGATTACCAGGCCTTTTTTCTAAGGTCCCTGAGGGTGGCTCGAGCCACCAACTCTTTGGTTAGCAGCTGAGGACATTGACTGTTGGCACCAGGGATTCCCTTACAGTGTGGTAGACCTCTAATGGGCCATGATGATCACCTCAACGTAACTATCAGAGTCTTGGTCTTAAAACCCTTTGAGAATGACATCCTGGTTTTTTAGGGTCTACAAATTCCAGAATAGAAAGTTTGCAAAACTTACAGATATTGTAGAGGAACATGTCTAAATATCCTTGTTACACTTCAAGGTCATCTTTTCATTTGTTTAAAAATATTAATGTTATTCCCATCACAGATGATAGCATTATAATGAATAACCTTACTTGTATTTTTAATGATGACCTTAGGTTTTTAAAGTCAGAATTTTCACGAGGACATGTGTCATAGGGATCTCTGTCACTCCAGTATTGGAGTGAGAAGATACCACCTCAGGACAGGATAGTATCCAAATTCCAGAAGCAGGCGTTAGTGAAATTGTTCAGTGATGCTGATGCTAACCGTAGCTTTCCAAGAGCATTGTGACTTAACTCTTCCTTCTTGTCATATCGATGTCTTCTTGTCCTCACGTTGTCTCTTGTTTCTCTACACAAGTGTACTAAACTTTCCCGTTTAAACCAGCTCTCGTTGTTGGATCACATTGGGACTCGCATGAGTTTTGCATGTTATTCTTAGATTTGAATTTGCTTTTTCAGTAACTGGATTGACCCACGGTTATTACCAGATGAAAATAATGAATGATACTGCTGAGACTTCCAGTAACACTCACTTTCCCTCTCCCTTCACTAATACCAGCAGAGAATAAGCCTTCCAGATTGAACTTCTAACTGGAATTCATGATATGCTATGTCTCCTTGTTACATTTCTTTTTATAATTAGGTCCTTCTAGCTTTCAGTTTTTTCTTTTTAGAAAGTATTAACTTTAGGTTCTGAGTATTTACAGTTAGTTACAATGTTTGCTTTCTTTCCAGGGTTCAAGTCCTCTGCTAAATGAAGTTTCTTCCTCCCGTATTGGGACGGATTCCCAAACCTCTACACCAGTCAGCAAGCCATCATCCGCTTATCCCTCCACAACAATCGTCAATCCTACCATTGTGCTCTTGCAACACAATCGAGGTAAAGGAGCTTCAGGGAAAAGTTCACAAATCGAGGACTTCCCTGAGGTCCTGTTCCCCATTTTATCTACTCCCACAACCCACACAGTAGATCGCAACAGGCAAGCGGAGGCCTCTGACGGGTTGATGTCAGATGGAGTCCTTGAGTGGCAGAAATGGTTAAGCACTAGACTATGACCCAAAGGTTGGCAGTTCAAGTCTCCCCAGAGGCACTTTGGAAATCAGGCAAAGTGACCTGTGTCTGAAAGGTCATAGTTTTGAAAAGCTTGTGGAGTGCAGTTCTAGTCTGCACACATGGGGTCACCATGAGTTGGAATCCATCCATGCAACAGCAACTGAAAACAATAACAGTAACAGGTGTCAGTCAGGAAGCTGGTGTCAGTCAGGAAGCTGGTGTCATTTAGGTGTCTTCTTCAGATGGTAACACCAAAAAAAAAAAAAAGGAGAGAGGGAAAGGAAAAGTCTGTGCCTCTTAATTCCTTGCCGTGAGAATTCTAATCAGAGGCTTTACTTGGGAAATCTAGGTCTAGTAATGCCTTTTAAGTAGTGTGATAAATGTTTTTGTTCTTTGAAATAATACATTTTCCAGAAAACATCATAATCCCTTTAAGGACTAAAATTTATTTTGGATAGAAAATTTTCTAAAATATATAAAATATGTTTTTCTACCTCTGAAACAGAGGTTTTGAACTTTTTCCTTAGTGATTCACGACCTTCTGTATTGCCAATACTCATTGCCCTGGGCTGTCACTCAGTGGCGCCCACTGGGACAAGGTTTCTATTCCTACACTGTGTGACCCCAGACAGCTCTGCTTGAGTTTTGGTGTCTGTTTGCTCTAGTTTCTCTGACTTCTTCTGGTTGGTCTGTCCCATCTCTTGAGAAATGTTAGAACGAGACAGAGCAGAAGTGCTTCAAGGTATCGTATTAACCCTTCTGCTTTAAAGTTCCAGAGAGTGATACTAAATGCTGAGCTTTCCTTTTTGGAAGTCTACAGAGGAATAAACTTTCTCATCAAAACCTCATCTGCTGTGTGAGATGAAAAGATTGCAAGCTGCCTCCTAGTGTAGAAAAGGCCTTTCAGTTTGAATTTGAAGGAACGGTGAAGTTGCAGAGCTCAAAGCTCAGTACCAAAGCTTCCTCTGTTTGACTGCCTCCTTGCCTGCTTCATAGCTCTCCTCCTCCATGTCTCCCTCTGCATTAACTGGAGAAGCACAAGACTGGAGTCTATTTTTCATTGCCTTCTGTATTAGAATTTTCTGTTTCTGGCTTCTAACTTGAAGAGCAGATGAATGAAACATTTTTTTTTTTTCCTCGCTCAAAATCTCCCCACTCAAATCTTGGTTATTTTAGTGGCTTCATTTCTTTTCACTGTGCGTGGCCCCCATATTAAGTTTCACCCGTGGACCTGTGTTCTTCAGCAGACAAAAGGCTCTCAGCTCTCACACTAAACTCTGTGAGAGCCCATTCTCTTTCTAGCGCTCCCTGCCCCTTACTGGCAGGAGCATCTGTACTCAGAAAGTGTCCGTAATCCAGGACAAAGTGCAATTTTGGTTCTGTATGAACTTCTTTATGACTCATCGTTTTAAAAAAACTCAGTCAAACAGAAGCAAATTAGTTCCCAGAAGGAAGGGCAGTTTCTTTAAAAATGGGATTTATTCCCGAGGCAACGTGGTTCTTGAGAAATGCCAAGTCCAAAGTTAGCTGCATCCTCCAAGTTCTCCTGATGACACTTAGTGAGACAGCTTTGGGCATGGAAATGTCTGTAGTTCTTCTTTGTTTCTTCTTAGAGCAAAGGGGATCCTCTTTTTACCCAAGTACCCTTGGGCTCTTGCCTTTTTCTTTTGTCTGAGTTCTGTCTTTGGGTTTGAAAGGCAGAATTATGAAGTGAAATACACACCCTGCAGAAAAGGATACAAGAGGCAGTGTTAGATTTTTGGAATTAAATAATAACAACCAGCCGTTGTTGTCAAGTCTCTGGTGACCCAGCGTGTGGCAGAGTAGAACTGTGCTGCACAAGGTTTTCGACAGATGATCATTTGGAAGTAGGTCACCAGGCCTTTCTTCCAACTCTGGGTGGACTTGAACCTCTGACTTTGTGGTTAGCAGCTGAGCACATTATTTGTGAACCATGAATTGAAGCCAACTCATCAGCAACTAACAACAGTCCTGTAAAGAGCAAACCATATGCTCACTGAGGAGGTAGGGCAGGAAGAATCTAGGAACTGGAAGAGCCTCACCGCCCAGGCTTTGTAATACTAATCGTTTATGGGGTTTAGGTCAAGCGTTTTTTTGGCTTCACTTTGGAATGTACCCGAACTGGCAGCTCTGGTTTGCCTTGGGGAGAGTACCCATAAAGGCAATTTCTTAACTATTGCAAAGTCTCCTGAGGGAAGAATAACTTTATTCCACTTCTGGAATTCTAATTTAGTCATCCTAAAAGAGTTTCCCCACTGTTTTTCTCCTTGCTTAAACTGTCCCAGGGCACAACATGACAGTGTTCGTATCTGTCCAAGCCCAGCTTCCCCTATTCTAAACAGAGGAGCGTTGAGCTCTTGCCTGATGCTTCCAGTTGGGAAAAACACTGTCCCCTTTTTCCTAATTATTCCCACCACATGTGTTTGAGAGCAGATCACTTGTGACTGGTATGAGAAGGAAGATAGGAATAAAAATCCCAGGATTGGAAGAGCCCTGTGGGTCCCCTTGTTCAGGCTTTCTCAGTCTTTAGTGTGCATTGGCTACTGGGGGTCTTGTTAACTTACGGATTTGGATTCAGGAGGTCTGGGGTGGGCCCTGAGAGTCTGCATTTTCAGCAAGCATACGGGGCACACCATTGGTGCTGGGCCACGAGGCTCACTTGGGGAGCAAGCGTTCAGTGGGTCCCAGACTTGGATTTTGTGTACACAGTCCACAGGACAGTGTAGATACCACCCTAGGGTTGCTGACTTCTAACTTTGATAAAGAAAAACGGTTGCTACTATCTACTATCACAAGTCATCCTATTAAAGAAAGTCCATTTCACAACTCAGAAGTGGGAACAACATAGTCTTTTAAATGGAATAAATTTGCTTCTGCTGGCTGGGGAAGCCCTGCCACTGGCCTGCAGACTAGAGTTTGGGGACCACCAGTGTAGTTGTGTACCTTGACTGAACAGACAAGGAAACTGAGGCTCAGAAGTTAAGTGATTGCCCCCGTCGTCTGGCCTGTTGCTGCCAGAGCTAAGCCTTGAGCTCGAGCTGGATATCTCGTTGTCCAGTCATGTGCCCTACCCACATGCCAGGAGATGGACAGGTGCTGCTTTCACTGGCTCTGCGTGCCCATGGCCACTCTGTTTACTTCTTGTCCACACTGATTCTGGTGGAGGGTGGGGACCCGGCCAATGGAGACGTTCTGTAATGATGACAGAGCATCCATGGCAAGAACGCTGGCAAGCATTCTATTTTTATCTACGTGCCTGCTTTATTTAGCAGCTGTGGTAGGTAAAGGTCATTTGCTGTGCTTATCCCATAGCACCATAGCACGTACTCACAGGACTCTCCAGAGGAGACGCTGGCCTCCCCTCCACCGTGAGTGCCCAGGAGATTGAGAGAGCCACGGGAACATGTGATCAGAGTCCGTGAGCACTGGACTAGGAGCTGGAGGATCCAGGTTCTACACCCAGCTCTAGTTTTCAGTGTCAACTTGAGTCATTTATCCTCCTTTTCTGAGGTCTCTGAGCCAATGCTGCCTTTTTAAGATTTCCCCTATACCCTGGGATCACCTGGTTGATACAGTGATTAAAAGATGACCTTGAACAAGTTCCTTGACTTTTCTATGCCTCAGTTTCTTCATCTGTGCAATAGGGAGAATAATGTTATCTACACGGTAGGGTTGTCGTGAAGATTAAAAGCATTAATACATGTAAAAGCCCTTAAAACGAGGCCTGGCACTTAGCAAATCATCAAGTGATAGGCGCTGCTGTGGTTCTAATGACAATTGTGTTCCCTTAAAGGATACCAGGACTAAGCTAGTATAAGATCTTGCTCACTTGAAAGCAGGGAAATGGGGAGGGTTCTTGAGATGAAATGTACACAGCTAGAAACAATGCCAGTCCCTGGCACATATCTGGGGGGACCAGGCCCAGATAACAGAAGCCACATTAATGCCCCCGTAGTCAGCTGGGCCACACAGTATCTTGGCATCTAAGCCCAGAGGACAATGAGGATGCAGCATTTAGAATCCTAATGAGTTGTGCTGGAAGTTCTTGGTTTCACCATGTGATGTCTCAATCTCACTTATACTGTGTTTTCTTCTTTTATCACAGAACAGCAAAAACGACTCAGTAGCCTTTCAGGTAGGTGAGAAATATTTGTCAACCTGTTAACCTGTTTCTGTGAAAGCGTTCCTCTAGCCGCCACCAAGTGCTTAATCAGCAGGGTCTCAGGAACTCCTTGGATGTGTTGGGAACTGGGCATATTGTCACACTATAGCAATGGTAGAAATAGGCATACGTTCTGCCTCCCTGGAGCCTGGAGCCTGGTGGGGACAGACAAGTTAAGTGCACCAAGCTAGGAACTGCATCCCTTGGAACTGTGATAAGTGCCTGGGTGGATCAAATAGGATACTGTGAATAAAACCAAAAGGGTTACGTTTTCAATGGAGTGTTCATGGCAGGCCTTTCTGAGGAGATCACCTTTCTGTTCCTTCTAGCTCTCTCCTAGGACCCGATAAGTTGGGGCTTGGGAAGCGTGGGCAGGTTCTTCCCATTTCAGGTGGCAAGCCCAGAAGCCAGTAGATGGCCCCAAGGAATGAGCCCAGGTAGAGTCTCGGGACCAGCAGTGCCTGGGATGAGGTGTTAGAGCTCTGCTTCTTGAACGTAAGCAGACAGAAGTATCTCCTGGAGAGCTTGTCAAGACTTGGATTCTAGGTCACGCTCCAGAGGTTCAGATTTAATAGGCATGGGCGAGAGTGTGCATTCCTAACCAGGGGGTGTTGCCCTCTGTGCCAAGCACACTTTGAGGAGCAGGTGGTTCATCAAGAGCCAAAACTGGTGGGGAGTGACTGCAAATAGAACCACATACCAAGAATCACTCCCTGATAAAGTGTGCATGAAGGGACAGTGTCAGCATGGGGAGTGAACAGACATGCAGGCTGAAGTCAGAGCCATACCGACAGTGGGAACACTGAGCCTTTTCCTGACAGCTCTCTGTAGCCATTCTCCTTTGAGTCCTGCTTCTGCCACTTACTCATGTGCAGCCTCGGGCAGATCATCTCCTGTCCCAGGGCTTCATTTTCCTCGTCTGTAAAATGGGGAAAGTGGTAGTGCCTATCTCATAGGTTGTTGTGAAGATCAGATGAGAATTTGCTGAGAAACAGCTTAGCGATGGGCTTTTGGCAGTCACTAGCTACTTGATTAAGGTGCTATTTGATGGTGTAGTGGGCAAGACATTTGGCTGCTAACCAGAAGGTCAGTGGTTCAAACCCACCAGCTGCTCGATAGGAGGAAGATGAGGCAGTCTGCTTTCTTAAAGATTTACAGCCTTGGAAACTCAGTGGGGGTCACTGTGAGTCAAAATTGACTCAATGGCAGTGGGTTATGGGAGCTCTGGAGGTACAGTGCCTAAGGCATTTGACTGCCCACCAGAAGGTTGGTGGTTCAAACCCACCAGCTGCTCCGCAGAAGGGAGATGGGGCAATCTTCTTCCGTAAAGACTTACTGCCTCAGAAACCCAGTGGGGGTTGCTATGAGTCAGAATCAACTCGATGGCAGTGAGTGTATATATGTATATATGTGTGTGTGTAATTGCTTGGTAGGTGTGAGGTGAGTGCCTCAATCGATCTGCTCCCCGTGATTTTGAGTGCCTGCTGGTATCAGAACTGAGCCTAGAGGGGCTCCGTCAGGGAACTCTGCTACCTTCAAGCCACTTTGGTGGTTTGTAACTTTCTTTGGTCATGGACTCCTTTGGAGAATCTAATGAGATCAGTATTCTCCAGAAGAAGCCACACCTGTGCAAATGTGTGCATGGTACTTCATGGGTTTGCTGAGCCTGTGAACTCCAGGGTTAAGAGCCCCTGAGCTCATGGGTAATAAAAGCCCCATTTTCTGAGCAGTTGTATGATTTCTGTGTTACTTCATCCACTGCTGTCCCCATGATCTGTGAAGAGCCTGGATAGGGTGGGCATGGGGTTCTCACACCCTCTCAGCTTTATCAAGACTTGGCCACAGGACTAGGGCAGGCTGTGTTTCAACTCAAGGTGCCCTTTGCTGTCCCCTCCTTGATCTGCCAGACTCCATCCAGCCCACTTCATCCCTTGGCCTGAGCCCAGGTTGCTGAGTACAGAGTGGCACTGAACAGAGGGCTCCTGTATATTCCCTCTCACCACCTTTGGGAGTTTGAAAGGAGCATTGCAAAGGATGAAGAAAGGATTCAGTCATGAGTTGGATGGATCCAACCATCTAACCATGAGTTAGGAGACCCAGAGTTTGGTCCTAGCTCTATCCTCTTCTGGCTGTTTGTGCCTGGGTAAAGTGTCTTCACCTCTCTAAGCTAGAATTTCTTTATGAGGGGAAATGGGGATAATAATCCTTGCCCCTGCCTCCAAGAGGTGTTGTAAGGGCCATCTGTGATGCGAGCAGGAGTGGGGATGCTTTGCGAACGGTAAAGTGCTGTGTAAATGTGAGGACCTCTCCATATTGGCAGGCTGAAGGTAGTTCTCAGCTCTAAAATAAGCCTAATGCAAGCTTCCTCCTTGGGTTGTGGGGTAGATCCAGTAGTGATGTTTGAGAGAGTGGGACACAAAGTAGATGCTCACTAAATGTTAAAAAGTGCCATTATGTTCTGTAGCTTATGAAGGAGAGGGCTGGTACTCACCACCTCTGTGCCTTGGAGTGAGGCTTTGCCCATCACCCCTGTGAGGATGGGATTCAGAGGGGCCACCAGGCAATCCTTCTTTTAACAAGAGTCTATGGAGCCAGCAGGCCTTGACACTCAGGGAGAGTTATCTGGGAATGAGGCCTGCATGGTGTTTGGCCTCATGAAGCTCACAGTCTTCTTGGATACACAGACAAGAAAACAAGATAGGAGCCAGGACAGGGGGGCATAGGGTGGAGAGGGGCTATGCCTCCCTTCTGCAAGGGAAATGGAAGCCTGGTTGTGATCCTTTATCCCAAAGCGTTGGGGGTAAAGAAAAAGGAGGCTTTCCTGTGGTTTTTCTCTTGCTTCCTCTAGTGCCCACTCCTCCTCCACTTCAATTTCTGGTTTGTTTGTGTGTTTTCACTTGTGGAAGCACTCACTTCCTGGAGTTCTCTACTTGCCTGGTTCATCTCCTGTCCCTTGGATGACTCCTGAATTGCTGGGGAGATTCGGTTTTGCTTCTTCGCCTGTAAGTGGGGCCATCCCTCGGCATGAGGTCAGCCCTTGACTCTGTTCTCACGTCTGTCCTACATTGGTCCCTTCCATGCCCTTGACTTCAGCCATCACTTGTGCTGCCTCCAAAACCTGTCCTGCTGGGGTCTCTCACCCAAGCTCCACCTCCCATATTTCTTCTAGAGATCTCTGGGACAGTTCCTCTTTAATATTGTACTGTCATCCTGAAGTTACCATGGTCCAGAAGGAAGCAGCCCTCTCTGCCTCCCTTCTCCGACTCTTTCCCAATTGCCTGGCTCGGATCAGGCCAGGCTTCCAGGCTAGAAATCTTGGTGTCATCTTTGAGGGAGGCAAGACAGTGTATGGTGCTGGGAGGGCCCCTTTCATGTGGTCCTGTCTGCTGTAGTCTTGTAGATCGGTGCTGCTGTCATTGTGATGTGCCTAGGAACGACCTGTTGTTGTTAGTTGCTGTCAAGTCATTTCTGACTCATAGCAACCCTGTGCACAGCGGAGCGAGGTACCTAACAAGGAACAACCTGAAGATCTTGTTAAAATGCCAATTCTGACTCAGTAGGCCTGGGTGGGGCCCTTGGTTCTATGTTCTCAAGTGCTACTGGTTCTGGGACTACACTGCACCTAGGAACGCTATAGAGTAAGCTTGCCATGACCTTAACAGCTCAGTTCTTCAAGAAGAGTGACCTTCCTTTGTGCTAAATTCAAAGCTATGTCTTTATCACACTCTTCCTTTGCAAGTTCTGCTTGGTGAATTACTTTAAGACTTAATACTCAAACCATGTCTCCCCACATTTGATTATTGAAGACTGTAAGAGCAAGCCCCCACTGAGCAGATTTACATGAATTTTCACATCTTCAGGTTCCCAGGTTCCTGGGATGCCTTGGCCTTGAGGTCAGAAGTCAGACTTTTTTTTTTTAAGGGGCCAAATTATAAATATTTGAGGCTTTGCCAGCCCTATGGCTACAGTTTCTGTCACAACTATTCAGCTCTATCATTGTAGTTAAAAGCACCCCTAAACAATACAGGGAGCTATGGTGGCATAGTGCCTAAGGCATTTGACTGCTAACCAGAAGGCTGGTGGTTTAAACCCACCAGCAACTCCTTGGAGAGAAGACTGGGCAATCTACTTCCATAGAGATACTGCCTCAGAAACCCAAGGAGGGGTCTCTGTGAGTTGAGTTGACTCGAATGAATGGGTGTAGCTGTTTTCCCCAAGAAAACTTTATTTACAAAAATAAGCGCTGGCCCTGGGAATATAGTTTCTGACCCCTACTCTAGGTGAAGGAGCTCTGGTAGCATAGTGGCTAAAGCACTTGACTGCTAACCAGAAGGCTGGCGGTTCAAACCCACCAGCCACTCCTCGGAAGAAAGGTTGGGCAATCCTACTTCCGTAGTGATACTGCCTCGGAAACCCAAGGAGGGGTCGCTATGAGTCGGGGCTGACTCGACGGCACATAACAACAACAACAACTCTAGGTCAAAGGCGCTCTGGTGGTGTTGTGGTTAAAGTATTCAGCTGTTAACTGAAAGGTTGGCAGTTCAGATCCACCAGTGGCTCCACAGGGGGCAGAAATCTGCTTCTATAAAGATTTCTGCCTTAGAAAGCCTACGGGTCAGTTCTGTTCTCACCTATAGGGTCTCTATGAGTCAGAATCCACTTGATGGCAGAAGTTTTGGTTTGGACTCTTGGTGAAAGCAGTTCCAACTGAGAACTGGCAAAAGTGTTTTTCCCAGCTTGGGAGTTCTTTTGCTTGGAAAGTCCCAGAAGAACTTCAGCTAATGGTTGTCTTCATTTCCAGATTCTGTCCCGGAAAGAAGAGTGGAAGAGCAGAACTTGGTACCAACCCAGGAAAAACCCACCTCACCAGGCAGGGCTACTGAGAGAAAAGCAAAGGATGGTAGGCGGGTGGTGAAGAGTGCTCAGGACCTGAGCGATGCATCCATGGATGAAGTGGGCATCCCACTCCGGGTACGAATCCAGACCTAGACGTCCTCCTTAGGCGGCGTCCTAAACAAGCCAGTACAAGTGTACTCCTGAGTAAACAGGAGCCCTGTCTGCCCCATGGGAAGGGCCCTCGCTACATCCACTCTCCGAGCCCATTGGCTGCTTCAGGGCCTCATGACCTCACACTGGTCCTGGGCTCTGTCAAGAATGGGCTGGGTGTTAACGTTTCATGAGTAGGGGTTTTGTGGCTAAATGAATTTGGGGAAAGCTGGATGGAACAAAGTCAGAGGTTTCTCTGTAGCAGAACTGAGAGGCTTTAAGGTGTGAGTGTTCAGAGGAGGGGAGCTGTTTCCCAGTCTTCCTTTCTTATGCTGTGGAGGACATGTGGAAATTTTTGGTTCGAGGAGCCCTGTGGGACGCTCGTTAAGCACTTGACTGCTAACTGAAAGGTTGGCGGTTCGAACCCACCAACCACTCTGTGGAAGAAAGATCAGGCAGTCTGCTTCCTTAAAGATTTATAGCCTTGGAAACCCTGTGGGGCAGTTCTGCTCCGTCCTATAGGGTTGCTATGAGTTGGAACTGACTCGATGGCTGTGGGTTTTTGGGTTCCATGTGTCCATTGGCTGCAATATATTCCTATGTGATTTCCATTTAGGCAAGTGGACTGTCATTTGTGTCTCTTTCAGGGAGGCACATTACCCAATAGAAACAGTGAGCTAGGCCTCAAAAGAGCTGTTCTCTGGTCCTAGGTGATAATACAGAAAACGAATTATTACAGATAATAGTAACAGCCCTTCTGTGCTCAGCACGTGATTTCATTTCAGCATCACTCCCGTGGCTGGCATCATTCCCATCTAATAGATGAGGAAACAGACATGCATAGGGATTATTTTCCTTGCTCAAGATGCCACAGCTTATAGTCCAGACCCTAACATTGTGTCAGGTAACCCCCCACACTCACCTTTTCAACCAGCTCTGTGACCTTGGGCAACTAACTCACTTTGGCTTTCTAGATCTCATTTCCTCATCTGTAAAGTGGGAGTGAAATACCTATCTAACCACCTGTCTCCTTCCCTGTTTTATTTTTATCTTAAAAAAAAAAAAAAAAGCTTTGTGGTGAGGATGAATATCGCCTGATGTTGGATGCTATAACGGGTTATGTTTTAATGTATGTGTTCTAAATCTGAGCCCATGCAAGGTGACTTAGATGCACTTCTGCAGAATAACCTGGAAGGTGACAGAGACCTGGCCTAATAAGCAAACTCTTTGCCTCTTTACTTCCGTCTAGTATAGTGTACAGGGAGAGAGATTCTAAAAAGGAAAAATATTTACTCTCTAGCCTTTTAAAAAAATTACATAGGAATGGACACATTTCAAGTGGATCCTTGTCCACTTTCTTCAAAATCTATGTCTTTTTTGACCAAATATTCTGCAGATTCAATTGTGAATTTCTTGGTCTGTCTGCTCTTTCTAGAAGGCTTTGCATTTTTTTTAAGATTTAAATATAGTGTATCACAAAGATGCATAGAATTCTGAAGCTGAGTTTTGACTTTAAATGTTGCTACTTTCCTGTTTGATTTTAAGCTTGTTTTAAAACTTGCCAAGATTTCCATTTTATTTTTTGCCTTTTTTGTTTTGTTTTGTTTTAATCCAGAACACCGAAAGATCAAAAGACTGGTACAAGACTATGTTTAAACAGATCCACAAACTAAATAGAGGTACTGGTTTTGTTTTTAGACACTGTATTCTGTGTTATGCTAATGTATGTTGACTATTATGTGTTGGGGTGAGGGCTTAAATGCACTTAGCTTGATGCTAGGACAGGCCCTGTGGCTGGACCACATTAGGCCCTGGCCTGCCTGTGCCCAGACCTTATTAGGCCCAAGCCTGCCTGAACCCAGCCTGCACCCTCAAAGTGAAGGAGGGAAGTGGCATTCGTACACCTGCCTCCAGTTTGGGTTTGAGGACAGCCCTTAAGTCCTCCCTCCCAGATGCTGTGGCATACATCTGCTTGTGCTCAAGCATCTACCTGCCTGGGGGTGTCAGCGGCTCCAACTCCTACCTGCTTCCAGCCTAAGGTGCACCTCCGTATTTCAGCCCACGACTGCCTTGGGAGCAGAGCGAATTGAGATAGCACTGAACTGGCTGTTAAGAACACTGAATTCTCATGTGCATTCAGTCCCCCAAACACTCCTGTGTCCTTGGGTCAGTTGTGTTCCTCTCTGCTTATCCTACTTCCCTTTCTGTGAGGCATGTTGCAGGGTCCAGAGGAGAGCAAATCATGCCAGTTCAAAGCCCTGGCCCTGCTTTCTGAGAGAGAATGCAAGGTGCACTGTAAGGCAGCCTGAATGTGAAAAGTGATCTTCTCCAGCTGGGACCCGGCTCTCGGCAGGTAGCCCTGAGTGTCAGGGCTCAAGCTGGGGGTGCTTCCAAATCAGGGGCCCACTGGGCTGTCAACAGGTGGCCTAGCATGGTGGCAGAGCCCCAGGCCAGTGCTTGGGCAGATCCAGGGCCCCCAACTCTCATCACCTCTGTGCTGCCAGTCTGCTGATAGGCAGGGATGTAGCTGCATGGTGGGAGGGGTACCACTCCTCCCACAGGCAGAGCATCCTGGCCTTCCCCGTGGCCAAATCCAGTCTGGCCGCCTGGCACGGATGACACATGAAGGCAAAACCGAAGCATTCTGATCAGTGTTCCTCCTAAGCTTCAAATACCCAATTTCCCTGATTAGCTATGGATGCCAACTAACATCACTGCTAATGAGCTCCTGCACTGTTCAAAATGAACCTGGATACCCCTCTCTAAACCTGCTAAATACTGAGACGTTTCATATTGAGCATCTCGGAGTCAAGAGTAATACCCTGTGGTTGGGAGGATGAGCTCAGCCATGATGATGATGATGCTAACAGCTGGGTCTATATGATCCACTGGGGTCAGCTCCACTGGTCAGGTCCTTGAGCTGCTGTTTCCTGGGGACAATCTGTGTCTCTCTCACCTTCACACCCAGCTTCGTCACATGTGCTGAGACACAGGTGCGTACATGCAAAACCTCTCATTCTGCCTGCAGACAACATTGGTCCTCTTATAGATTACACCTATTAACTCAACCCAAATTGCAGGTTCTAAACTACCTGCCCTACACAGAGGCAACATTATTTGAAAAATTAATAATCCATTTGTTTGCCTTGACTCTAGTGTCCACAACACAAGCTTTGATTAAAAAAAAAACAAAAACACTTTCATGATAGTGTTTTTCATTATATACATTTACTATCATACTTATAAGGAGTTCTGGTAGTGTAGTGCCTAAGGCACTTGACTGCTAACCAGAAGGCTGGTGGTTCAAACCCACCAGCCACTCCTCCGAAGGAAGGTTGGGCAATCCACTTCCGTAGTGATACTGCCTCAGAAACCCAATCGACAGCACATAACAACAACAACAACATACTTACTATTCCTTGTCTATAAAACGATTTGCTAAATAATGCTTCTTGCCCATGGAGCCTGTGTACATGTAATTCTTTGTCCAAGAAAGAAAAATGATATTGTCTCTTTAGATGTGTCTCAGTAATTCAGGCAAAAGGACTGGATTTTTCAAAGCAGTTTGACTTTTCTGGTATCACTAGTGAAGCGTAGTATGTTCCAGAATTCAGGGAGCCTGCGTCGTGTGTGGATTCCTGTTGGTTCATTCTCTCCATTTGTATCTTCCTCTATTCTCTCTCCCAAACCTGCTCCTCTGCCCAGACACTCCTGAAGAAAACCCTTATTTCCCTACGTACAAATTCCCAGAACTTCCTGAAATCCAGCAAAATTCTGAAGGTACCATAAACATAGACAGTATATCTGTTGTCCTAGCCTTAAATTCATTCCTATAGTTCTATCATAGGAATAAGATTTGGCTTTTAGATGTTATTTTTATAGTGGGTTTATTTTTATTATTATTATTGGTAAAAATTTTATTTCACTCATTTGCATGATATGCTATATTAAAAGAACTAAATCCTTTCTAATTCATTAACCTATATTTAAGTGTGATCCTGTGTGCTTTAATAACACTAAAATAGGTAATCAGTCATTCGAAAGAGTCGTTTGGGGATTTGTCAGTTCCTCCACTTCAAGGTGGATAAGTTTCAAAATCCACTGCTTTTCTCTGCTACAGAGGACAGGCCTTACACTCCTACCTACCAGTTTCCTGCATCTACTCCTAGTCCTAAATCTGAAGGTAATTAAAGGAAAATTGTGTGCCTCTCTTTGTACTGGTGTTATTTTCTTTTTCACCTTGGGGTCTTCCCTGGTTGCTAAGAGCTGTCTCCCAATCATTTGCACCCCTCTAACCTTGTGTTCTGTGGTGTTGTCTCTCTCCTCGCTGACTGTATTAGCAGACTCTCTCCAGACGGTGTTTTTTTCCTATTCCCTTAAGGTTCACATGATTAATGGGGTAGCCAGTTTTCCACATTACAGACTCTGGGAAAAGCTGTCCCTTCCCAACTTCCCAGGGTTTTGTATTTTGGGAGGTGACATGGTGCTAGTGGCTGGGCTAGTGGCAGGGAAGCTGAGCCATTATGACTGATGGGCAGAAGGAGGTAACTGCCAGCTTTCAACAACAGAGAAATCACCAGGTCCCTCTCTGTGCAGCTGACCTGTCCCTGGGTCCCTCTTGGCATGGGCCCTCAAAGTATGTCTCCTTGGTAGAGAATTCCTGAAGTGGTATCCAGGTATAAATTTAGTAATGGAAAGAGATTCTATCTCTTGAAAATAAAGGTTTTAGCCAAGCTTGAAACATTTCACAAAAGAGCTGGATAAGAATTTGGACCTGCTGGGAGGGCAACCACACTTGGATTTAAGAGACATTCTTTTCTGGGGCTAAAAGTCTTGAGTTTAAAAGAGTTATTCAACCTAGTGTCAAAGAAAGTCCTAAAAGATGAGTGAAGGGCAACATCCTGAGAATTATCTTAATTTTAGGGATTGTCTGATCTTTGGATGAGTGGCCCAGAAAGGGGTGGATGGCATCTGCAGGGAGAAGTTTTGTTAAATGTTGCTCTAGAATGAGGTGTTGCGTGCCATGAACTTCAGTCATTTCGTTCAGGCATATGGCATGCTTGCTGTGCACTGTGCTGTCCTTGGCACTGAGGATGCTGCCATGAATAAGACATGGCCCCTGTCCTCAAAGAGTTCACATCCAGCAAGGGATTAGACAAGGCGATCTTGAAAAATTATCTCCAGTGTGATAGCAGTTGCAGGAGCATGTATCCAAGGCCACAGAAAGCCTTGCTGGCACAGTAGGTGGTCAGTAAACACCTGGAGAAGGTTGGTTGGTGACGGGTTTAGACCAGGAACTCAGAGTTCTTTTCCAGGGATGAAGCCCGGCCCTGCCCCTTTGTTGATTCTCTGCTCTAATCAACTCAGCAAACCATTGCACAGCCCTTCTCACTGTTGGTCAAGTCATCCATTCCATCATTCACCAAACTCTTACTCATATTTAACATATCCAAGGGTAATGTCCTGGATCTTTTAGATACAGTTTTAGTTAAAATATCATATTCCAATGTTGGTCTCCCCAAACTAAACAAGATTTAGTTTTACCTAAGAAATAGTCAAGTGTTGTGTGCTAGACCAGTAGTTTCCAGCTATTTCATGCCAAGGCATATTTTGAAAGAAAAGTCTACCAAACAAGCCCAGACTTCAGAAATGGGCAAGCTGATCATTTAATATTGATCGATTAACCTCTTCACTGTCAACCAGGGCTTCTGTTTGGTGTGAGACGGCGTAGTCTTTCTGTCTTGGGTGCTGATTCTCACCCAGAGCAGGAAGGAAGGAACAACTGGCTCAGTTGAATACGATCAGAAATTTTTCTAGGATAATTTTCCCTGAATGTGATTTTTGAGTTGTGCTTTATTTGGACTTGAGAACCAAACCACTCCTAAGCTAGGGCTCCCTTCTAGAGGAGATAATAGGCATTGAGTCACCTTTGATCACAGTGGGCCTGAAGGCATGGCATCCCATAGTCATGGGCAGGGGAAGGCCCATCTGGAAAGGTCTTGTGGGGAACAGTTATCCCACCTGCCTGGAAGATTGCCTGCCCTGGGCCTGTCACAGGCAGCGGCTTTCTCAGGCACCTTGGCTGTTGGTCTGAAGCCAGGGTTTCAGAGTGTCCTCCCCACCCCCCAGAGCTTCCGTGTCACCAGCCACCACATCTGGCAGCCCTGGCTAACAATAACATCTGCTTGCTGGTCGACATCAAGTGAGGCACCATAGGGAGGTGGGATTATTTTGCTTGGAGACATAAACTGCAAAGAATTGCACGATACCATTATGTATAATTTAGATGCCAATCTTACCATTTTTTGTTTTCAAAGTCCAAAGAGGAAGAAATAGTCTTAAATGAGGAAGGAAAAAAAAATTAGGTTGGACATAAAAAATTCATAATAACAGAGGTGATGAGGCTTCAACACAAGTTTCTAAGATCCATTCACTCCTGGGGATCTTTTAAGAGTCCATCTGCTCTCAGCCCTGCCTCGTTGACAGATCCAGACTCACATCACTGATTTATTTATTGAGATGAAGACATTTTACAAATGAAATGTTGGAGCTAGATAATTTTAAAGAATTGGCTACTTCTTAGTTTTTAAGTTTTAAGAATTCTCTGGCTTTGTGGTTTTGTGATGTATGGTTTTGATGTCTGTGAGCACCAACGGCCCTCACAGCCCTGTCCTTGGTGCTGCTCCATCCCTGCTCCTGGGGCCCGGGGGTCTATCCACAGCCCTCTTAATGTTTGAAAGCTTTATACCTTTCAAAGAAATTCATTGAGACAGCTTAGCACCAAATGGAAGCTCTACCTACAGATTTTAATGAGCGTTGAAAAAATAGCTGTGCTGAGAAGTATGAGCATAGGAGCCATTGTTACAGAGTCTGTGCCCTGGGGTTGATATGGTTGTGGCTGGTGTTTGTTTAATTCAGAATTCAGAACAAGAATGATTTGTAAGAAACAAATCAGGAGCCTAAGAACAGCTGCTTCTAAGTCTCACTATTTCTACAGTACCTGAGAGGCATCTCTAACTATCTCAAAGCTCATTCCCTTAAATAGTAAAGGACAATGTTAAGGCTTATGCTGGCTTAGCAACCTTCCCTCCTCTTCCCAGCAACTCTGAAAAGTGAATTAGAAAAGAAACGGAATGATCATGTCTGAATCAGAGAAGTTTAAAATGTGTTGTTATTGTGGTTGTTTAAAAGAAAACAAAAACCATAGATTCCCACATAACTTCTCATCATTTTACAGTTTTTGAGATTGCTCTGTGTGCAACGGGAAATGTGTAACATAATTATATTTCACGTCATGAGGCACTTGGGAGGCGTAGGGGCAAGGGCATTTGGGAAGAGTAGAATAAATTCAGGAGCCGTATTTCCTATAATTTTGCTACATACTCGGATCACTAGAGAAAACTTGTCACAAATAAAAATGTGAAGAAATCCTTTCAAAATAACATTCAAGAAGGGAGACTTGGTGGCACAGTGGTTACTCTGCTATGAACCAAAATGTTGATAGTTCAAACCCACCAGGCACTCCACGGAAGAAAGATGTGGCAGTCTGCTTCATAAAGATTTACAGTCTTAGAAACCTTATGGGGCAGTTGGAATTGAACTTGATGGCAACAGGGGTTTTGTTTTGTTTTAGGCAAATGAGTTTTGCACTCTTTGTCTTTTAACCTGCCCTTGACCATCTCCGTCCCATCATTTCTTCCTTTCTGATCTAGAGCTATTTGTCTGAGAATTTTATTCCATTCTTTCTGTGCAAAGCAAAAGTCCTTTTCCTTGCATCTGAGAAGCAACATGTTCAGAAAGATTGTGGGGGTGGAGAGCACGGATGTGGATGGACTCCAGCTCCAGCTGCACCCACACCTGCACCCATAGCCATGGATGGGTTGCTAGGATGAGTCTTCAGAAATCCTGCCTGTGGTTTTTTTCTGAAGCTGGAGCAGGAGGGAGACAAGCCATAGAGAATAGTTTCCTTTCCCTTCCTCTCCTGCTTTAAGGCACAGAGTGTAGTTATAGCACGTCGGAACCTCACAAGAGGAACCCTATGAATTGTGATAACATAACCACTGTACTGATAGCGAAACCACTATCACTGAGCCCTTGCTGTGTGCGAGGCCCCACACTGAGTACATTGCAATTGTTAACGCATTTTCATCCTCCCAGCAACCCCAGGAAGTAAGGCCTCATTTTACTGAAGAGGAACCTGAAGCTCAGAGAGGTTAAGTAACATGTGCAAGATTATACAGTAAGTGGCAGAGCCAAGAGTCAAACCTAGGTGTACTTCAACATTAACTTTTGCTAACTCTGTTACACCGCTTTGCTGATCCCTCCCAGCTTCCTGATACACCTTGTGTGCTTGGTTTTGCCACCTTGCCAAGGCTCTCTGATGCCTCACTCCGGGCATTCAGCTCCTCCTGCTTCTGAGTCAGTCATCACTTCGTTTCCTGGGCCAGTGTGTTGCAGGATAGTGTCTGGGAACCTGTAGTTAGGACAGCAACTCATGTGATTTTGACACACACACAGGACTGAGAACTACTGGAATTGAGGGACACCGGCCCTTTCCACTCATCAAAAAAGGAGGAAGATACTCATCTAAGTGCAACCTTGGAAATTTGTGTATAGGATTAGAGTAGAGAACACAGATTCAAAAGAGCTAGCCTTTCTACTCTGAACATCCCCCAAAGATGTTGGCTCTTTGGGCATTTTTGATATCATGAAATGAAAGATACGTGCAGGTGGTGTGTTACTTTGTGGTCCACAGCCTGTGAGGACCCATTTGGCCACATCAGGGTGAAGGGCTGTCGACTAGAGATAGTCTCAGAAACCAGCCTTTCCCCTTGCTTTTGGATACCTCTTCCACCACCTTCCCTGCTGCTGTGGCCACTGCCACCTCCCAATGAAGTGACTCAACACAGCCCTCCTGGGCATCCCCAGGCGTGGCGGCATCCTGGGTCAGGGTGATCTGCCTCCCTGTGCTTTTCCTGACCCCTGGACAAGGATGTTCTAAGGCAAGGAGTTAAGGATGCTCATTTTCCCAGGCACATCTGTATTTGAATTAAAATAATCCTCTTTTGGCCTCACAGGATTTCTAAGAATAGGCTTCTTTTGCTTGAGTTTTAAGCAAGCCGTTCTAATGTGAAGATACTTGGCCAGGGTATGTGCCTTTGCCCCAAACTCCAACTAGTGCTG